AAGAGGAATCAGAAAAATAATTCTGTTTGCTTATAAGAGAAAGGTTTATTATATTCGTATTAGAAACAATGTGGAAATAATCAAAACAATAAATTATCACCAAGTCTTCAAAATAAAATATTAATTTTTATTAATTTTTTTTCAATAAAAATATTTGTAATGAAATAGCTTAAATTCCTTCATTAGGCATATTATACAATTAGAATGATTTTAATTTTGGGATTAATGCATTAATCACTAAATTTAAATTCTATTAGTATATAATTATGTATAAGATACATAAGCTTAATTTAAATTCAGATTATGCATATTATAAGATTTTGACATATGCTTTCTGTCTCTAAAATAAAATTTACATATTCTATATATATTTCTATTAAAATTATACAATTCTATTAAAAATCTAATTAAATTATTAAAAATAGAAGTTTATATTGTCTTTACAATAATAAAACAATGTTAGTAAAAATATTTTCCTTTCGGAGGTTTGTTTAAGATGGAAGAGTTAAATTTCAATGCAGGCTTTAATCTTCATCCTAGGTTTCTTTTAATCACAAAAACTTAGGTATAAAATAAAAGAAAATTCAAAGTTTGATTTTGTAAGCTTATTTATGTGTAATATATGAATGAAAATTCTTAAATTGATTAATATTGTCTTAATTATTTAACCACTTTTTAAAAATTCCTCAGCTTATTTATTTTATGGAGATGTGATTATTCAAATTTTTCCTTGTAGTTAGTTTTGAAATCAAATACACAGGGCAGAAACATTCTGGTAAAATTATCGGACAAAAAAAACAAACATATTTCTAGCTTAAAAAAATACGGTATTTAAATTATTAATTTGGTTAATTTTTTCGTTCATATGGTAACGGTTTACCAGAATTATTGTTCTTATTACCACACATTTAGTTAAAACATAGAAAACTGAAAAATAAACTTAACCAAATAGTGGTTTTTACGCCATTTTTAAAGACACCAAAAGACAAGCTCATATCATGCTTGACAATTTTTTCCCATATTTATCAAATTTTATCACCTATTATAATACCACATTTTCTTGTTAATTTTACAGAAGTTACTAAATCATTTACTAATATCATTAATCGATAAAAATTGCCGATCTTTTTAGAGTACCCATGTAGCCAGAAACATGACAAATTTTACCGTGCAAGTTTACAAGTAAAGAATGTTAAGAGAACATTTTAAGCCTTTATAGTTTTGAAACCGTATAAACTAGCACGGTTAAAAAACCATAAATGCAAAAATACATGGATTTTAACCATTTAACTGAAACTGTAAAAAAGAAATTTAACTGGACATTGTAGCTAGGTTTTTTGTTAGGTAATGGGCATCGGAGTTGTGATTGAGTTGTTCTTTTTTAAATGAATTGTGGAATGTGGCTTAATTAGTTCATCTGGTTGTTTCACCTACCGTAAGAGATGGAATATATCAATTTTTTTGTGTTTTTAGCAGTTTTGTGGCGCTGCCATGTATACATGAATTAGATTATTCTATTTTAATAGTCTAAGGTCCATAATGAGGAAGTGCAGAAATCTGGAAACTCTTCATATGTTGAAGGGAATGGAGAAAATATTGTGGTGGAATTCAAAACTGGAATTCAAAATCCCAGTTCTGTTAGTCACAAGATTAAAAGATTTACCCTCTTAGCTACAATTCGTACTGAAGGAACTAAGTGACTTCATTTGGTGGACCTAGTTAGTGCGATGAAATTATGTCTGTTTAACCGTATTATGCGAGAGCAGTTAATAAACGGTTTTTCTCACAGCTAACTGTTTGAATACCATCTTATTTATTGTTATTTGACTGTTTTGTTTGAATACGGTAAAAAAAAACAATTGGGTGATTTGTTATTTAACCATTCTTTCTGAGAAATTTCTAACAGTATGTAGTACCGATGCCTTAGTATTCTGAGGGATATATTAATTTAATGTATACCTCATTTTGTTTCCTTTCTGCTCTTTGCTATGAGTAATGGACTTCCACGTGTCCATTATAACTTACGTGAGAACTGGCTGTGAAGATATTAGATATGACTGACCACGTAATCTGTCTTCTAATTCTTCTCAAGGGTGATTTTTGGGGTTTTAGATCGATGCTCTGAAAAGGGCAGACAACTTATGGAACACACATTCCATCAAACAATGGCTAAGCAAGTGAAAGGAATAAGTAAAAGGAGCAGCTTAAAATATTGCGTTTATTCAGAGGGCAACATTGCAAGGAATGTCCATATGCGAATCAGAGTTCACGTGTGGTTACAACCACAAAATCTAAAAGATATCATAGCCCTCTCATTGGCTAAATCCACATCTTTAGATAGGTGTCCTTGTACTATTATAGATAGTTACTCTGCCCATACTCTCCATTACAAATGTTATCTTATACCCAAAGTGTATATCAAGAATGTATCCTACTGATGTAAGCTTTTACCTCCATCTTGGATTGAATGGATGCAAAAAGAGAGTCAAAGTAGTAGACACTTACTACCAAGAAAAATGAAGAATCTATTATATATAGACATTAACAATATTATAGTTATATTAAAAATATAATTGACTCATATTAGGAATTTTTACTTCCAATATATACTTTTATGCTGAATCAAATGAATCCATTTAATATACGATGGAACAAAATTGATAAAACTCAATTTTATATTTTGCTTGCACACAAAACCTTGTAAACAACTCATTATAAACGACTTATAAACTACTCATTTTTATCGACAAATTCTATACTCCACTTAATTCAGGTTAACAAAATATAAAAGAAAGCAACACATCAATTGTTATATAAAAATATTTGTCACGTTTTTAGGTATAAGCCAAGAGTGTTACTTTTTATACCTTACACTTACAAACCATATAACTTCTAAACTATCATGATTCTAATAGTTATCATTTTTATTTTTAACTACAATTATTTCAGAGTAGCAAATTACATAGGAGGCAATAACCCATTTATCAAATAATTAAAAGTATTACCGCTTCAATAGGTATACGTTTATTATTGTATTTTTTAATTAAAACTGATATTCAATATTTTTTAATCAAATAATCTACAATTTTGTGAGCTACTATGAAAACGAATCCTTATTAGTGTAGTATAAATCAAGGAAATTTTGAAATTGTAAAAGGATATGACAAGGAAACAAAATGTGTAGTTTTTATTTATTTGTTAAATCTAACAAAAAAAATACATAAATTCTTTTAGTTTTTAAACAAAAAAATGACTTTTAAACTAAAAAATCTTTCTTCATAAATTGAATTCTGAATTGTATATATTTTATTTATTTCACACCTTATATGAACACTTCAAAAACTAGACCATCCTTATAATTAATTAAATTAGATTAAAAAAATATTTATTTAATATTTTATATATCAAATGTATCAAAAATTTAAAAGTTGCAGTGACTTTTATTTATATTATAGTTCTATATTGAATGTGTTATAAAGAGAGCTATAAATAATTAGAATGAAATGTTTGTTTAAGCTTTTAAACAGGATTTGAAAACTTTATATTAATATGCTATGTTTAATTATATTATTATTATTTAATACATTATTATTATTATTTAATATATACTTAAATTATTATATTTATATTTACGTTTACCATGAAGGTGTAATAGAAAATTATAATGAAAATGTTTTCATTATTGTGTCTAGAGCGTTTTAAAAGTATTGATAATCACTTATAACATTTCACAAAATATTAGATTAAGTTCACTTTGTACAATGATTTGAAGCCTTACAGTATTTACATACAGATAAAGAGTTTGAATGAAAAGCAATTTTTTTTTCAAATTAGATCTCAGATACTTTAGTGTACTATCTAAACTAAACTAAACTACTAATTATCAGATAAGGATAAGCTCCTATTACCTCAAAAGTAAGCTTTCGATCAATACATATTGTTATAATCACTAATCGATAAATTTTGTTTGTATTTTCTATAGTAAAAGTACTCTTCTAAAGTGTGAGTACTTCTTTGTGTGAGTACTGTTCTGAAAAAGAAAATATTTATTTTTAATAATTGATAAGACGTAGTTTCCGATTATCATAAAATTAAACATTCAATGTATACAGTTTGTATATTCTTTACAAAAGTATTAAAATAAGATTTGAAAAATGAACTATTAAATGATAAAAAAAGCCTATTATAAAAAAAAAACTTTTAATACATATATTTTGCTAATATTCACTAGTAATTAAAAAAAATTCTAGACAAGAAAAACTAGGATTCTAAGGAAAATTTGTAAATGACAGGAACAGGTGCCTGTTATCGTTAAAGCAAATTTTTAATCAATATGTTTTATTTGTATTCCCTATAATAAGAAAGAAACCAATAATAACAATACATTAATAATATTAATTAAATCTTGAAACTANCATCCCCTCCGCAGAGGATCAAAATTGTGATGGCATGTCTTCGGATAATCCTCCGGGATGCTTCCCAGACCGTCGCCAATAGCCCATTGTGCAGCTCTAGTGCGACGCAAATTAACAACAACAACTATAATAAGAAAGAAACTAATAATAACAATAAATTAATAATATTATGATTAAATCTTGAAATTAGGTTTGTAAATATTTTTAGATAAGATAAAGTGTTTATTATCATAAAAAATAAACAATCAACAAATACAATTTTCATGTTATTTACTACGGTAAAAAAGCAAGATTTTTTAAGAGAAATTATTAAATGATAGGAAGAACTGCCTATTATCATAAAAAACAAACTACTTTCAATTGATAAATTTTATTTGAATTTGCTATTAATTTTAAAAAAATTATCGTAGAACTAGACTTATGATGAAGATTAAGCAACGCCTATTGTCGTAAGAAGTGAACGAACGCTCCGGATTAAATTCGGTAAAAATCCGCAGTGAGATGACCATTCATTCTTTTTGGAAACCACTCCCAAGGATGGAACCCGCCAGGGGTCGCCACTATTGGATGGTGATAGAGGGGATGAGGAACATCCTTCCGTGGGTTGCGCAGTGAGCGTTGTGCGGAGGCTTGCTCTAGTAAGATCCCGGATGATCTGTGTTCGTTTTTGGGCGCCTATTCCATCCTTCGAAAGAATGGATGGGGAAATACCGCTCGTCATGCAGTAATACTGAGTGTGAGTACAATTAGCATGTGAATTGCATGTTTTTATTCACAACAAAACTTTAAAAATTTAGAGTGAAATAATACATTTGATAAATATTTGGGACTTGAAAATTAAAATAAAGAGAGCACATATATATGTTACAAAAATTGGAAACTTTAATTGGACAGACATAAATGAATATAAATGATGGAATAATTGAAACAAAACAAACACGTTCTAAAAGTAAGTTTATCATTTTGATTTCATAGTTCTAATTTAGTTTATTTTCTTCAGAAGCATTAATTAAAATCATATTAAATTTTTAAATTTAGATTAAATTAAAACTTATAATACCGATCTCTTGTTTAAAACTTTGAGGCTATTGAATAATATTAAACAGTGTACTTTTAATAAACTTTAGCAATAGCTCAGTTTATATTGAGGAGTTTAAATTAGATTCATTTCGAAATATTTTACGAATTTGTTTGATTAAAAACAATAATTATTTTTTAAAGAAATGAACAATATGATTCTTTTTAAAATATATAGTTTTTGATATATTTGTAAACAGTTGTTACGTTGCATTATGTATCGATTAAATAATATAAAAATCTTTTAAGCTATATAACTAAATTTTAAGTAGATGTATTTGCTAATTTTTCAATAATTTTTTTTTCTCTTGTTGTAAACAATTTAATATTTTAAACATCTTGTATATATAGTCATTATGTTGATAAATTAAAACTATTACAAACTAGAAACATTGTGAAACATCGTTAAATATGAATTAATAACTTTAAATAATGACTGAAGTAGATTAAGTAACATAATATAAGTTATTAAATTAGCATTGCAATTAAATATGATTATTAAAAATTATTATTGCTTTTTTTTGCATTAAATCTAAAATAACATAAATGATAATTATTAAAAAAATGACAAAAGTACAGTAATTAATTGAATGTAGATAATTAAATTAGTATTGAATGAAGTATTTAATAAAAGTTGTGCGAAACAAATATATTTTTAAAAAACTGTTTCTTCTTTCATAATTAGCTCTTCAGAAAAAGGAATGGAAATTATAGACTTAAAAACAAAGTTTTTAGATTAGTTGGAAATAAAATATTATGCTCCTTTGTTTGTACAGTGCGCAAAATAAAAAATGGACCACCCTATCTAATTTTTGATCTAATGATCGGATTTTCACTTTCTAGGACTCAATCTTAATAGTCCGAGGGGCTTGCCTCCCTCAAATATGCTAATTAATTAGAGCAGACGATAATTTAATTTATAAAATCATGCACTAAAATGCTCTTTCTCTGAAAAAACATGCCCTTTTTTGACGAATTACTGATTACTGACCAAAACAATATAGGCTGTAACCGCAACCTGGGAAATAGTTTGGTCCAGGAGAGAGATATCAATAAGTATTTCGACACATCTCGAGAACTTTTTAAGTGAATTGAATTTATTATTAAGTCTATTTATCCAAAAATAAGGTCTATTTATCCAAAGATAACTTTAGACAAAAAAATAACTTTTTATAAATTTAGCAAAAAATAGGCAAAAAATAACTCTTAATTTCTTATTATTTCATTTAATAATAGTAAAAAACTGATTTGTAACGTATACAATTCTTTGCATCATTTTAAAAGACATTATTTTACATGGCAAAATAAAAAAATTTAGTGAAATCGTTCGAATAGTTCATGAGAAATCGAATTTCAAAGAAGTCATATTATAAAAATTCCAATTCTCAGGAACTATTCGAATTATGTCATTCAAATTTTGTATTTTGCCACGTAAAATTATGTTCTTTTGAATGATATAAATAACTATATATCTTACAATTTCGTATACAATACCTTAAGTACCTAACCGTAAGTAGCTAACAATTTTTTCGACTATTATAAAAAAATATAATGAAAAATTATAGATGTTTTTAAAGCTATCTTCTGCATGGTATTTTTAGATAAATGAACATTTATAATTGCGTGCAAAAATGTTTCGATTCGCTTAAAAATTTCTAGAGAACTAGCGAAATTTGCAAAAGGTAAAGTTAACTTTGAGAAGTCCAAACTTCTGATCACTCTCCTGATCAAACTATTGGGACCATATTTCTCAGATTACGGTCAGTCCCCTATATTTTTGGGGTCAGAAATCTGAACCCGTCAAAAACAAAGGTATGATTTTTTAAAAAAAAATAAACAGTTTTGTGCCTGATTTCGTAACTTAAAATGTCACCTCCACTCATAAAGCAGGATATTTAAGGTCAATCCCTCAAATCATTACGAATTAGTCATAGAACATGAAGATCCGATCATTAGATCAAACGTTATTAAGGGTGGTCCGATTTTTATTTAGCGCACTGTACATTTTTAAAAATTATCTTTCTTTTCTCACTCAGAGTGTTGATTTGCAGCTAATAATTTACCCAACTAAAATTTCATCTGAATCTTATGATTTTAAATAAAATCCCAGGGTATTCGTCATTTTAAAATTCTGACAAAGTAAGAAATTCTCAACAAATCAATGAGTTTTGAGGAAAATATTATCTTTTATGACGAGGGAGTACATTTTTCTTAGAATGACGGATTTCTTTGTAATTGATCTTATCAATTATTTTGAAAATGACTTATATCCTTTTTGAAGTGTATAATATAATTTTAATAATTATTATTTTTTGTGGATTAAACCAATTTAAAAAATATTAATAGCAGTAACAAATTTGATAAACTTTATTAGTCTCATAAATTAATTTATTAAACTAATATAAGGCCGATTGAAATCCCATACACGTTTACATCATAATATTCAAATCATTGAAATTTTTGATGCAAACTATTAGAAATATTCGTAACAAATTATACTATTTCAATAACAGTTAAAAATGTTTTAGCAATAATTAAACAATAGTTTTTTTTTAGAAAAAATTGAAACCTTACTCTTACACTGAATAAAAATGTAATTCGATCTTAAAATGCTAGTTTACTAAATATTTCAATAAATTATCTTTTTGAAATATAATCATCTTATGTGACTTTCGAAACATGTAGAATAAAATTTGTCAATTTTTAAAGCTATGTTTCTTTTATTAGAAAAAACTAAAATGTTTTCTTATCTATAAATACCAATGAAAAGCAAAAATCAATTTTGTATCCTTTAAATTAGATTCTGTAACTAGAAACAAAATTAAAACATCAACTTATTAGTATTACTCTTTGATTTTTAAGCTCCCTGTCTAATCCAAAAAATCTTGAATATACAAAAACCTTGAAACACAACTTTTAATTATGAGATTCTACTGCTGCTATCATTAATCAACTTGGAAGTTAAACGTTATAAGAGTCATGTATTACTTTATTATTTTAATAATTAACTAATTATGGAATAACGAAAAATTATTTATCCAAAATATTATTTGGATTATGGAATAGCAATCTAGCAATAATACTTGTGAAGTAAGGTGCAAAAAAAATGGAAATTAAACATTAGAAGATTCCTATGTTACATTTATAGTTTATTCACTAAATTATGATTATAGAATCACTAATGATCATGAAGAACTTCATATGGAAAATTGGATAAATGAAAATTATATAATATTTACTTAACTACTTAACTGATTATAAAACAATATATAGCTTCGAAGTTAAAACTAGCGTAATTCATATCGTACTACATAATATATTTACCCACCTGAGTATAAATTGCAAACAGTTACTTAAAGAGCACTTTATATACGGAGAATAGTACAGTACGGTAATGACATTTCTGGTTAAAAAAATATATATATAATTCGAGATAATGGAGCCAAAATATACAATATTTAAACCATTTATTTGGTAAATTTCTAGTTCATATGATAAGGATTTACCAGAAATTCTAGTTTTCAAAATTATTATTTCCATATACTAATTTAAGAAGAAATTGAAACGAAAACTGAAAGATAAATTTAAGCGAATAATTGGTCATTATACTATGCTCTAAGATACCATGATAAAATAATAAATTTTACCACATTTACCAATTTTTATCTCATATTATAAAACCGTATTAGATATTTTATCAAGATCATTACCGAAGCACTGGTAAAAATTACCGAATGTTTGAAACTGGTAAAAATTACCGAATGTTTTAGTGCTCCATTGGGCTAGAAACAACACAGTAAATTTTCCCACATTCTGATAATTTTGATCACCATATTTCTTTCTCATTGTATGGACAAAAAGATAGCAATTTATATGGTATATATACTTCACAGATTTTGGACAAAATAGCCAAATTAAGCTTATAGGTTTCATGAAATATTTTAGAGTTATTCTATTTAATAAAACTAAACTCAGTTGCGCGACAGCCCATAGAGGGCCAAAGCCTACTGTGCCCATCTCAGTTTTCTTGACCTTGGGCTCTGGGGTGCAGGAGCAAATGTTCCGCTCAGGTGGCCAGCCGAACGCGGATTCTCTTTAAAAGTATATTAAACAAATGAAATACAAAGTAATTAATACAATTTATATTAGTTTAGAAATCATTTCAGATATTTTTGTTTATTATTATTCTTTTTACAATTGATTTTTGTATAATTTAAATTGCTATATACTTAGAACGCATTGCTTTTATGTATTATCCTTTATAATAGTATCTGTTTTAATAATAGTAAAAAAATATGCATTTTTACATCAAGTCACTTAAAACTTTACATAAATTCTAATAATCTACGTTTAAAATACTTAATTGAAAGTTCCTTCCATATAAATTTTATAATCTTTTTCTAAAGAAAAGCATCTTCTTTTAGACAGTAAAATAAATATAGTATAATTTACAAAATTTTGACTACATTTTGTAATTATAGAAATTAAAAAAATATCAGGTGTTTTGAGTGTGTTCATAATGTTTTTATATCACCACCCTAACCCTGTAAACACATTTTTAGAACCTTTGAAAGAAATTATATGCAAGAAATTACTCGACTTATAGGAAATATGTTTAATCATAAAAGAGCAAATGCAAAACACGGGTCATTTTGTGAA